GTTGTTCTTGGACTACCTGAAGTTGAGACAGACAGAATTCTTCACTTTATTCCGTGGGTGATTAAGAAAAATCAGACTTGTGTCTAATACAGGTCACATAGTGGATATTGAGCCCAGGGCCCAGACGGACTCTTCTCAAGGTCTTATGACACAGGAATTAGCATTGACTCAGACACTTTAGAAAGCAAATAAGTAGGGGACCTGTCTTTTGGCCCCTGGGCAGAGACAATGGAAACGAGACCCACACACAAACTCCATTGTTGATACAATATTGACATGGCACTAATGGCTCTGGCTATAAGACGGACTGGATGAGCAGTCAGGCAAGACAAGAATTGCGTGAAGGTCCAGACATACCCTTCACTATAGCCTTTCCACGACCCACTTTAGCCTAACAGCAAACACCATTCTGTTTGTCTCTGTACATTACACTCAGACGCTTGACCACTGCAGGCAAACTCCCTCAGGAAGTCTAGACTGGAGTTTTTAGTCACACACACGCACACACAAGCCATCTTCTGAATGAAAACTAGAACACTTCTTCAAGCCCTATTGGACTTTATCGATACAACAAAATACAATGTGCAACAATAAATCGGCAGATTTAACCCCTGCACGCTGAAATGACATGAAAAGAGAGATTTGACTGTTGGTTCTTCAGCTTTGCTCAATAAAGTGTTTGCTCAATAGACTTTGTTGAACAAATCTGAAAAAGCTAAAAGGCAAAACATCTCAACAAAGGTTGTTGTGAAGTCATTTCAGAGTTTGGTGGTCAACTCTGATCTTATCTTTAAGATGTTCCTGCTACCAACCAGCACCTGATATCTAATAGAGGCAATGTTTTAGCAGATAACCACACACAGCTACATACAGTCTATGTCCCCTACATGCCGTCTGTTTTTTATTGGTCTGTTTGTTTGTCGACAAGTTTACACAAAAGCTATGAAAGTTGTCAGAAGGATGTGGTATGGACCAATCAAGACTCCATTTAATTTTGGTGCAGATTTACCTTTCACTGTCTCTAACATTGCGAGATTGGGTGTTTTAGACATTTTCCCTCAAAATAATAAAATATCTGGCTAATTAGAGGGTGTAAATCTATAAGTGTAGCTTGAATTCACTTCAGGGGCCTGTGGGGTCTTGGAGGTATGGGCACGAGCGAGTGCTATTTGAGTTCCTACTGGAACCAAAAGCAGCTGATTGTGACGAGCGAAACACGCACTTAACACCCTTCACAACCGTCTAAGTTAATTTCACATGCATGATGATCTCAGAGAAATCTGATTCATCTTGGCCATGGTCTTGTATTTTGATCTACTGACTGTAGCCATGCAGTGGGGATAATTGGTTCAATAAATACAACTCCACTGTGTCCCCAGTTCATTCAAGAAAAAAAACACACTCACACACACACATCACTGGGGTGAAGTGTCCGGGAGCGATGATGAAGAGAAGATGTGAAGATTGTTTTTTATATCTGTGCCATCATCTCGACGATCATTCTGAAGTGAAAGGTGCAGCGCTGTTCTGAAAAGTTGAAATACTTTTATCATAAAACACTCAAGGCACCGCCCGAGAAATGATGGATCGCTCTGAAAAATGAAACCCGCTGCGGACTCGGTGCGGAAACACGCAATGCATATTGTAGACCGTTGAGGCTGTTAGTCCGCATCCCCCATAGGACAAACCAGTGGAAACAGTCAGTCATGTGCATGTGGCCATAACTTCCATTGTAGTGATTTAGAGGACTTGTCACTCCACTGTAAATTCACTTCCTCCTGTTTTCCTTCCGTTATTGTTAAAAAAATGATTGCGAGTCAATGATATCCCATTTCTCTTTGAGCAGATTCAAGCCTCGGAGGAAAAAAAAAATATTCAGAGTCAAGAGTAAATCTGTGTTCGGAAGGAGTATAAAGTAATTTAGCATTGATGTCAAACCAGCTTTTGGGATTATCTCCCAAGATGAATACACAGTATTTCAGATGGCATATTCACTTTGTGTTGAATTCTAAGACTTTTAAAATATATCTGGAAATATTCAGTCCGTCAAAACTTATTATCGTCTCAGCCCACATATCTTACAAGGTAGAATGTTCTTCACATTGGCTGCTATCTGTGTTTGATTTATTTTAATTTTTTTAATTAATTAAGTGTTTCTTCATGTAAAAATTGAAGATGTGCTCAAAAAATAATTGGATTGGAAGATTCTCACCTGCACTGGAGTTGAATCTTAAAAAAATAATTTTCACCCGCAGCGAAAAAAAAGTCAAAACACAATTTTCTGGTTAAAAAAATGTTAATTTTAGAGTCAAAGAATAAAATGGTATTATTCAGTCATGATATCAGTTCCTCTGTGAATTGTGACTGACAGCTGTACAATTCATCCTGGCTGCAAATGTTATGGGGGGCCAGGAGCTGTGAAATGGAGTTTTTCTCCTTGTGGGGCGGACGGATGCAAAGACGACCCACTGGAGAAATATCTGGAAATGCATCGAGCTTCCATGGAAGTTCCTTACCGGAGACACATCGCTCTGTTGTAAATTGCCTGCATTTCAGCTTATGCAAATATATCTGGTAAAGAGTGATATTTTCCTTGGAGACGCTTCTCTTGTTCCCTCTATCCCCATGACAATCCATCAGTGCAGATAAAACCCAACCATCCCCAGCTTCATTTTTTCCTACTCATAGATTTTTCTTTAGCAGACTCAGGCTGCCTCGCATCACTATTCTGAAGGACTTGTTCAGATCAAGCGTAGTGAGAGCGATTTCTTGGAGAGTATAGCTTTCGTGGTCACATATGGCAAGTCCCCCAGGCCTGCACATTGATCCATCCTATTGTTTTCCTTATTGTCTTGTCAGATCAGCAGGAATAATGAGACCAGCTCTGGTGATTCCACTCAGCAGGTAGAACACTTTTTCCTCAGATATAATATATGCGAACATGTGTTGTAAGCTGTTCTGCTCCCAGTGCTGAAACAAGCTCAATGGGCCTGCTCAGGATGAATATGTATGACAGGAAGCAAAAGAGACAAAAAAAAAACTGCACGTCTTCCCCCTCTAACGCAAAGGGAAGGTTCACAAGGAGTTCGCCATCAAAAATATCCCTTAACACCTCCAGCATGAGCCCTGCTCCTCTGTTGATCCAGATGCAGTTTGAGGAATGAAAGTGGGAGTAAAACGAGGCAAAGGAGGGCTGGGACCAGGACGAGCCACGCTCACAGCTCACACCACATGGACGGAAGAATCCTTTCAGTGTTATCACCGGCTGCAGATATGTTCAGGCTATGAGGCTGCACAGGAAACTATTAACACTTTCTCTTGATAACAAAAGACGGGACCTTATCAGGATGGTAGAAGTGACACGGAATGCATTAACATTTACACCGTTCTCTCATCTGCTTCATCCCCCGAGTGCTCACTCCGTTCCTTTCTCTTTAATGCAGTTCAGCACTTTGCCCATTCACCCCTTACTGTGTGAACCGCTGCAGAAGAAAATAATGACCATTCCAAATCCCCCTGTGCATGTTTGGCATAAGGAAGTAGCCCATTTTCTAAAAGCAGAGCAAGACATTAGCCCAGTTCTCCCAAAAGCTAAACATTAATCAGTAAATAGTCCCTAAAACAAGATGCCCATTTAAATGTCTTTAAGAGAGATTAATATCACAGAACTTTTAAATTGCACTTTGAATATTTAGTGTGGTGTGTGTGTGTGTGTGTGGTATAGTCATTAATGTTGTAGGGACCAGTTTTAAAGAGTCACATTATAGGGACTTGTCTTTAACATGGGGATAAACAACTCACTATGACGTAAATCATTACATTTCAAAGTGAAGACATGCTTTAAGGTCAGTGTAAGGTTACAGTCACGGTTAGACAAGTAGTAGTAATGGTTCAGGTTAGAGAACGTCTACAGGGAACGAGTGTAATCTCCTCTGATCTCATGGAGGCACGACTGCTTCTGTGTGCGTGTGCCTGCGTTATAATTGTCAGTCGAAACGGGGCTTGACAGGAGCATCCTGGTGGCATTAAAGAGCATCTTTATGTAAATGTAATTTCTTTTTTTGTTGCTTGTTTGACTTGCTGTTGATGTTTTATTTAGCAGAACACAATGTTTGTTGCTCCCTCTAGTGGTGCAACCCTCAAACTTTAATGAGCTCTCTCACTGAACCGTCAACCAGATGTCACAAACGCGGAGGCTTCCACCCATCAGAGTTTCAAGCAGCTCTCGACTCCCTCCACACAAGATTTATTCAGAGCAGAGATGCTGAAATAAAACTTGTGTCAAGCTCCTTCTAACTGATCGAGGTTACAAGTCATCAGTCACCAGTGAAAGTAGATGGCACAGTTTGGGGCCTCTTTACTTAGTCTGATCGGAAAGTTTGCAAAAAAGCAAATTATGTAATAAATCTGGCAAACTCTGCACTCCTTTAGGACACAAATATAGAACGCAGACAGGAAACATCAATGAGCTGGAATAAGAATTCCTTGTGAATGCGCAGGATAAAAATGTCTCTGCTGCTGATGATAACACCCTTTAAACGTCTAGCACCAAGGTCTTCCTGGTTTTTAATGAGCCAAACAGATGGAATGAATCATGCATCTAATGCTGTAAGATGTGCATGAGGGATGTCATCTTGTATGATTCATCCGGACTAAAAAGAACTGAGGAGACCCACCATTTTATGTTATTGAGGGCCTGTGCAAAGTCAATTATAAAAAAAACATGTTTACTATGTGTCTTCTATATAAAGACAGACATATAAATACAACCTATTTGGAGTAATCATATCACACTTTAGTCTTATTGACTGGGATTCACACACATAAAGACAGCACGTGTATATGCAGCCTTCAGGGACAATTTAGGGCTCAGTGTCTTTCCTAAGGACACCTCAGCATGTGGACTGGAGGAGCAGGGGATCGAACCACCAACTTTCTGGTCAGAGGACGACCCTCTCTACCTCCTAAACCCTAGAATTAAGAGGTGGAAGCCATCCTACCGTCATTACACAATGGCCCTCCGAACGTGGTCATGCTGCAGTCACAGCTGAAGCCCTCCCACTGCTGCAGGCACACGCCCTGGTTGGCACATGAGTCCTCTTGGCACGTCGTGCTGGGGCCTGGATGTGGAGACAAACAGCAAGGCGGTGAACAGACCTTTATAACACGAGTGTGTGCAGATTGAATTAAATGTCACACACAACGTACAGACAATAGGCTTCTGCAGACGGAAGCATACACAGGAGTTACATATCTAAGACAACTGTCCGTTTGGTCTCGTTTTTTTATTGTTATTAGAAAAATAGGTACCAGTGTCCAAGTGTCTAACTGGCTGCCTGAACCAACTATTCATTTTATAGTTTCGTTAAAAACCACAAATAAATAATTTAACATCTGTTTACGTTGGGCGTTTGTACTGTACAGTAGTGTATAGGATTTATACTGTGTCTACATCTAACGTTGCCTGACTATTGTTACATCCCTCAGAGTCAGCAGTAAATAGTCGAAATAAATTCCGTAGAGCAGTTCTCCTTTTCTTCTTCAAACCGTCTCACATCCAGAACAATCATTTGGACACATTTGGTCTTTCACACTACGTGTTACTACCAGCGATGACAAGGTCACAGGATAATGAAGCTCGGTTGATAAGCAGTCGAGTCGTGACAAATCCATGTGCTTTTAAACACCAGTGTAACAGTGACTTCAGATGTATTTAAAGGGAATGTCACTTCATGAAGCCAGTTAGACAGAGCTCAGGTCAGTTTACAGTTGTACAGGCAGTATCTTCTGGTGAGTTAGTTCATGTTAGTGGAATGACAGTGGTTAGCATAGATGAAGGTTGTTATCATGTATTTTATTAAATGACTTTATATTTATGGGATATTTCAACAGGTAATTATGTTAATTATGGTTAATTTTTAGAACACGTTTTTCAATCATAGTATTAATTTTCAGCATCTGGATGTTTGAACTACATTCATGACACATAAACTTCATTAATGAAAGACACTACAAGTAGCATTCCCCCATTTTATCCCGTAATAAAGATATTTGGTTACTCAGCTTATGTTGGACACATTAAACCTCATCTTTATATATACGTCCTTTTTTCTAATAAAAGAGTATCAGCTTAATAAGCGTTTGCTGTTGCCCACTCACACTGATGAAAAGAAGAAGCACAAAGCTGTACACAGCGTTACAAGAAACAAAAGAAAGAAAAATCACAATGCTTCATGATTTCAATGTTTTTGAAATAATATGGTCTTCATTTTATTTGACTTTACTTGGCTTATGAGTCAATTAGCCATTGAGAAAGCTATGTGATGGCAAACTTGTAAATATGGTTAGTTAATATAAGAAATAGTTACTAAGGTACAGAATCACATGTTCCATTAGAGTTTCCCATTCACATAATGTTTTCTGATTAGTACGTAAAACATGATGCAGCTATTAATTGATTTAAATAAAGGACCAGCGCTTAGTGACAACTAGTGGTGAGGTTGCAGATTGCAACTAACTTAAAATTGAACACTTCACCTACACCCAAAGTGTTGAGGAGAATCTATTGTATTGTAAAAACACCAACAAACGGATTGGTTTGTCCTTTCTGGGCTACTGTAGGATGTGATGTCTATGTAGATATGAAGGCATCATTCTAAGGTAATGAAAAGAGAAGGATTTTTAGTTTCATGTGATTATACTTGAGTGAAATAATAATAATTATTATAATTATGAATTATATTATATTCAATTTATGCCAGTAGATGCCCCTAAATCACACTGAACTTTTAATTTGAAATATATGTTGATGTTGTTCTTTTAATTATGAGTTTAATAATATAATGTAGTCATATTCTTATTTACTTACAAAACTATATCACACCGTTTAAAAGCTATTCGTTTTGCAAGACACCTTTAACTGTTAATTATTAAAACTTGATGCTTGATGTGGTTACAACATGGTAGAGAATGCCAGAGACCATACGAGTAATGTGGCATTGATAAACATGGTACTTACAACAGCAATGATGAGTTTAATTTTAAACATTAAAGAAGTTTGAATTAAAACCTCAGTTTTTTATTTTTAAAAAAGTTCATGCAGGAGAAAACACTGTTATTGAGACTATTGTGAGTCATGCAAAAATATCATTTTCATATACAGTATGTTGACATTTAAAAAAACAAACGGAAAACAGCAAAGTCCAATAAAACTGCATAGACCATGTTGTGCAAATCAAAGTGTGAGACCCATAGACCTTGATACAAGAATGGTACTTGTATTCCTATGGAACAGAAGTCCATATGTGCAGAGTGTGTGGAGGTAGAGACTGTGGAGAAGTGTGTGCAGGGGGCAAAGGCATTACAGATGCAAAGAGGGGAGGGGGACATCAGACGCTGGATCAAACAGACAGAGCTATCTACCTTGCAAGTCAGCTTTCATCAATGCAACTTTTGTCAGCAAAATAATAGGAAAGGAAAAGGCAAAGTATACCAGCTGTTAGTAAAGCACCAAGACGTCAGAGAGACTGATGAAGCAGGAGAGACGAAGACTAGTGGAGGGTGGGTTTGTCCTCAGAAAAACACAGAGTGGGGGGAAGTGTCGTATATGTAGAGGCCAGGTTTACCCAAACCGCATCTCTCAAAAGAGTCAAATTCTCTCAAAATGGCATCAGTGTTACGTCCACATAGAAGAATCTCAAAGTGAGATTTAGATAAAAATGCCATAATAGAGTAAAGACGTAATTTAATGAGGATAAAGCCGTGTTGTTACAAAAAGAAAGAAAGAAAAACAACCTTTTTGTTTAGGGAATAAGCAGCAAGAAGAACCTGTGCTCACCATAGTTCCTCTTCTTTTGAATCCAAAATCTTCAACCAACCTCAGTTTTTCTTGAGAAACTAGGACAGGCCTTTGCATATCACATGTAACAAACAATAACCTGCCAGTCAACCATGACCAAACATTCTCCACAACAGACTGTGTGGGTCTCTGTGTGGAATACACACAATTTCTTCAACAATCTCAATACTCCGTTGTACATCAGTAATATTACATATAAGTATGTAATTGTTAAGTCATTGTTACTTTGAAATTTAAAGTATTAGAAATACTGTTTATTCCTTCTCATGCATGCTGTGAAATGATCCTGCTTCATTCAGCAGCTCTGTGCTCTATGCTACTGACTCCAGAATCACAATCCAGTTCATTGCATCATCATAGATGCCATTTTACCACTGAGAGAAACAGTTGATTCTGTGTGATACACAACTTAATCTGCAAGTTCTTCAGACCCACACAGCACAGGGTGCTGCATTTGATTACATTTGTTATGTTGGAACATGAAAACATCAGAAGTTGTGCAGTCAATAGAGAAAAAAAGAGCAGATGAATTGTGAAATTAAACTAAGTGAGTGACGATGAAAAATAAATCAAATATTGTCTCTGGATGCGGCGCGCACATTAGACCGGGCAAATGATATTCATGCATGCAACAAAAGGCTTCATACATAATTCAAAAGGATTGCTTCTGGCAAACTCTCAGATCCAACAAGCATGCACAGAGCAAAACAGAATGGGGATAAAATGAGAAATAACACTGGCAGTACAAATATGGCCGAGAGAATAATCAGATTATGGCCAAGTGAAACGGAAATGATTGCCTGTAGAGGAGTGTCAGCGCTTGATGCATTCTAACGGAATACTAACACACTTTAGGGATGTTGCATTATGTGCCACAGGTTGGCGGGGTGGGTGTGCTTCACGGTGCACATGCGTCCTCGTAGGACAAGTGTGAGAAGAACAGGAGGACGGAGCTGCGACTGCAGAGGTTAGTTCATGGGAGGAAATTCAATGAACTCAATTAATAAAGTGATTACAAACATCTCTCATTTCTAAGCTTCCATTAATAATACAACTAATAAAATCCAGATTAAAGCTTCAGTTTAACTTGTAGTCAACCCCAGAAATAAAACAAGAAGTCAAACAACGAGTTTCACAGCAACTCATCACTGAGAGAGATGAGTTAAAAGTTTCCTTGCGGGCGACCACTCACCTTCACACCCTCTCTCTATCTGACCCACGCAGTCGAGAGCGTCCGACATCAGGTCTGGGAGCCGCCCGTTCAGATCCACCGACGCCAGACAACCTTGGAAACCCTCCTTGGCGTGCACCAGCTTGGGCAGCTCCTTGAACATCTCCTTCGCCACCCCACCAACGTAAAGATTACCTGTGAGGGAATGAGAAATATGACAACGCTGACCCCTAGTGGATAAAGGGAAACATGGTGCAGAGCTCAGACAATGCTGTTTTAACCACATCATTTTAAAGAATGCTTTAATTGAAATTTCCCAACTAAAGAACCAGAAGTTTGATTCATATTTAATAAATGGTGAGTTGCATGAATGAGCACAAGGGTTAATTTAAAGAAAAAAAATCCTAATCTTTATCCAGTGATATTTCTTGCTGAATGCTGAATTTTTTAATGCCTAAATAAGAAATCTGTCAAGTACCTTGCACTGACTCATTAAATATTATTAATAGCAACAATGACAATGTTTCAAGGTAGAAAATAAATGAATTCCATATCCTTCCAGGTGACAAGGTTGTTAGGTTGTTAAATTATATTTCTTTCTAATTACCCCAGGTTGGTCTGCCAGTCACAAATGTTCGTTTCTATGAACTCCCAGCTCCACACACCATTAGTGTTGGCTGCTGAACAGACAGCGTGCTGAGTTCTTGCTCAAGGTGGTAATGAGCGAGAGCCAAGCATTACTTTTTCCCTCCAAACCCCCAAGGCTTTATCCCACTGCTGCAACCTTTCAGCCACAAAACCTGCATTTCTCACCTCTAGGCCTCCGCTGCCCCACTTTAATGACACCTAGAAAAACACAGAAATGAACTTGACCAACGCACCCTTCAGGTCCAGGTTCTTGGCTCCTGTGGTTGTCTGCGTGGTGATCTTGGTATCGATCTTGACAGTGTGAAGGTTGTTGGTGTCCCTGGAGATGATGACGTTGTGCCAGTTGTTGTCGTTCAGGGGCTTGTTGGAGTTGCCTTTAATCAATTGGGCTCCGTTCCCCAGGTCAGACACATAGTGCAGGTAACTGGCGATACAACCAGGGGGACAGAGGAGGAGGGACATGAAACAAATATGCAATAATATCGAAAACACAATTGAATACTTTGCCACGCAATTAATCAGGTCAATTTAAAACCTTTATTTGTCCGTTTTAATAGACATACAGTATAACAGAGTATAAGGGCCACCTACAGATGAAAGAATAAAGTTGTAATATTTGGAAGAAAAAAGCAGAAATTTAAGAGAATAAAGTTGATATCTTCAGATTAAATAGTTGTCATATAACAAGAATAAAGTCATAATATTGGGAGAATAAAGTTTTAATTTTACAATGAAAAAATTATAACATTACCAGAGAAGAAATTTTAAATTTACAGGAATATCATTTTTATGAGAAAAAGGTTAATTTCAGGTGTGGGCATGTCAGTCAGCTTGTCACCTGCATTAAAATGAGGTAGGTGGAGCTTCTTGTTAAATTGTACTTTAGTATAAATTTTACAAATGAAAATACATCATATTTTGGCTCATCAGCCCCACATTATCAGTAGTATCAGGACTTTGAAAAGATTGTTTGAGAAACTGTCTATTGTGCAGAAAGAAACAAGGAAATTGCCTATTTTGTGGATATTCAAAGAGGTTTTGTAGTTTCTCAAGAAACAATGAAATTGGTTCAAAATGTTGGATCCAGAAGGAACGAAACTCCAGCGAGCACAGGTTCTCCTTACGGATTGTTTCCTAAACATTTTTTTCATTCTCTTAATATTATGACCATCTTCTCAATTCTGACTTTATTCTGGAAATATTTTTTCTTGGCCCTAATACCCCACCATAGTAACAAGACAAATAACATAAGTAAAAAAGTCTAATGGAAGTCTAATGAACCTCTGAAAAGTGCTGTGGGAGTGTGTGCGAGTTCACATGTTTTGATATGAGAGTATCAGCGAGTGCAGCTGTCTAAAAAGAAGCTCAATAAATGGCAGGTTGCAAAGGCTTCCTGGCTGTGCTGAACTAATTGGTCTTAAATTCTTTGGTTTACGGGCAATTCATGACTTACATGCTCATTTTAATTAAAATGCTTGCCTTTAATGTTTCACATGTTGAATAATACCTTAACTTCAGGCACTACTTAAAAGAAGGTCATAGCTGCACTTCAGCAATAAGAAATCCAGCCTTGTGTGGCTGATTCCCTTTTATGTAGTGTATTTGTGGTGCCTTCATGAAGACTTGGAAAGAACAGTAATAGCCGACAGCTCTTTCAGAGAATATTCTGGCACGAAGGTGATAAGAAAATTATTTTAATTCCCATAATAATGGCTTAAAAAGCTGTAAAGAACTATATTCTGTTTGGAAACTGTCATATAGTCTGAGGAGCTGCATTATTTAAAACATAATCCAGTTATATGGATATTCTTACATAAACAAGCATCCTGCTGCACTGGAATAAAACTAATTCAACACAGTTCAGAGCTTTTTCTGGGTCTTTACACCTGGTGGCAGGTCGGTGCTCCACGAATAGAGTCGTGTGTGTGTGTGTGTGTGTGTGTATGTGTTTGTGAAGGCAACAGCTGAGCGGTAACCGTAGCCTGAAGAGTGACAACAGCTACATTAAATCATGAATTCCGCCAAAACCAAATCAGACTTCATCTACAGGAGAATAAAATAAAGTAGAGGCAGCACCATTGTGTCAACAATCATCTTCAGGCAAAGTGGCACAGAAAAGACAAAGCAATAACTGCTAGTGGACCGAGTATAAAGTCAAATATCCCAAAAAGAACAAAATCTCTTAAAATAGCTACAAAAAACCCTGTTACAGCAGTTGAACAAGACGTGAGTGTAGATAAATGGGAGAACAGATGAAGGTTGTGCTCTCGTATTTGAAGTGAGTATTCACTTACCCTTTGACCAGCTCCACCACGATGAAGTCATTCCCATCCCCGCTGTTGAAAAGGATGAGGCCGTCCGAGGACGTGGTCTTGAACTGAAAGAAGAGGTGCATGGAGTAGTAGGCCTGCAGAGTGGTGAGGGTCACATAGCTGGAGCGCGACTTGAAAGTGACGGGGTCGGCGATGATGTTCTTGAAGCCGATCATGGCGTTGAGCTCGCAGTAATCGATGTCGCCATTCTTGCAGAGGTCTATGTAGGCCATGCCGTTGAAGGCGAGGCTCTGGAGGTGGCCGATGAAGTTGGACGGCACCATGGGCAAGAAGCGCTTCTCTGTCACAATGCCCGTCTCTATGTTATGGAACTCCAGTTGGGTGTGATCGCCCGCCATTTGACCTTCGGTCAGCAGAGGAGGGGAAGGGAGACAGGACGTTGTTGGGGGTTTACGACAAATAGAGTCACAATTCTTTGATTCCAGACAAAAAAGAAAATAAATATACCTTAATTTGTTTTTCATTACTGCAGCCTTTCTTAATACTTGTGTAATG